ACAAGTCAAGTTATGCTAAGAGATCAACAAATCACATAAAAATTCTCATTTTTCAAAGCTTACAAGCCAAGCTTGTAAACTATACAAATTGCACATGGAAATTGAATTCGACCTGTTTATTAAATTTAACATTGAATTTGAGTCTTAATAAGCCGAGCCAACTTGAGGTCTCAAGCTTCTCATTTTGTTTAATTGCTCTAGATGTAGTATACAATTTTTTCAGTATAGTAAAAAAAAAAGCCCCTTCCTGTTTGACAGGGCTGTGGATGTTGGGTAAACAATCTAAACAGTTAAATATTATACCAAGAGAGAATAGAATATCAAGCCATATAGAGTAGCAGGCAAAAGCGACCTAACAGAATCAATCTCCAGTAAGTTGTCGTACACTACATAAAGCGATAAAACTGTAGTCGTACATGTTGTCGCATACTCGAATACACTCGGACGTAAAAAAGAAATATGCCAAGACAAAATTTGGAACTTTGTTCTTCTCTCTTTCACAGCTGACGTTCAATCATAAGAAAAATCTCCTACGACTGGTATCCATTTCAGGCTGCAATTGAAAGAAATGCCAAATATGAGCAACTCGTATCAAGATATAAAAATATAAAACTGACAGAATAGTTGACACAAAACAAATCCCATGTAGTTAAAAATATAAAGGACTCGTTATAAAAACATCCTACAATTGGTTCAACCTCAATAGTTGACACAAGACAAATCGATCAAGACTTACTAGAAAAGAGGCAATTCGGAAGAATTTGTAATTTTGTAATCTAGCTAGTTGGAGATTCTTAAAATTAAACAAAATCTGAGAGGGTAAAAGCATGTTTGTAAACATAAAATTTCACTCAAAATATAACTCAACTTTAATTCATTTCCATTATTCCCATTATTATCAATATAATTAAATAATATCAACCAATATTCTTACACATAACATCTACTTTAATTCTGTATTCATTCACTCACATAATTTTAACTAATCATCACTTTATATCTTCTCTCTCCTACTTTTACATCAAAATTGTTGATCTTGGATCATATCATATTCATCGAAGTCAACTCTAATTATTTTATTTTAAATATTATTGCATAAATCCCACTAACAACTAACATACAATCTTTTTCCAGATTAACTCTAGTTAACCAAAAAAATCCATTTTGAGTGAAAATTTTTGTCAAATATGCTCTAACATTTTAGGTAATTTGCCGCATATTGAAAGATTACCTTGTGCACCCATTCATATTCACCTCCTTTTGTATCAAAAGTTCCATGCTGAAGACTAATTAGCTTCAGCGTAAAGCGAGGGCCACATTCCTGCAAATTTAGACTGTTATGCTCCCACATATCTTACAACAATTGTTTATTTTCAAATTTAAGAAAGCTTAAAATCTCTTGTACAAACCAAAAGAAACAAGAGAATACAAATTAATATATGCAAGAAAAGGCTACGTACCTGAAGACGGGCAATAACTTTCTCTTGAGGTTTAGCTACGTTGTCGGCTTCGCCTTTACCTTTTGCTTCGGGCCCTTTGCTTTCCTTTGTCTCAAAAATGTACCTTTCACAAGCAAATAATAAAAATAATAAGCCATTCAGGTCATAATTTCAGCAAAAAAAATGAGCATAATGCATAGAGAAAAGAGTGCATACCTGTGATGGCGGAAAAATATGAAATCACGTTGATTGTGAAAGGTAACAACACGCCGACCACGAAAATTAGGGTCTTGTGGGAACAGTGATTGTATTAGCCTAAATTAAATAAAGAATTAATTAGTTTTATTGGTTTATGTTCTAAGCACAAATACATAGGCACAAAATGAGAAACCCCCAAACAGTAGCAGGTGTAAAAATCTGACGTTGCTACCGCTTTACTGGTATTAGTTCAGCATTTTATCATTTGGATGTGAGGACTAAAGCAATTCTAGATGCGGAGGGTGAGTAATGGATTCTATCAAGGAAAATCTAAACACCTACAGAAAAAAGCCACTCCAACATATCAAAGAAAGTAAAGTTTATTATTGAATCATCATATCATAAACTGATACTGTGAGAAACCTTATTGAATTATCACATCATAAACTGATTCTGTGAGAAACCTAGGATCGAGAGGAGGCCCTTCTAAACAGGACCTGTGTAACAAGTAAAAGCATAGACTCCTCGTATCGAGAAAGTCAAAAGGGAAAGCTATAAGAAAACTTTAGAAAGTTGCAAAGAGTCATACACAGTATGATTTACCCACTTCTTTAATCAATCATAAAACAAACCGAGTAAGAGCGGATTCTATAATACCTGCCAACACGATGTCCCAACTGTGTTGTGAAGTTAGTTAAAATTAATTCGGGCTGATGATTGGTCGGATTTCCATGATTCTGTGAGGTCATTAGAAAGGAAACGGGTCAATCCAGTTGAAAACACATGGCGTTTTATAGAATCAAGGTAAAACTCAACATTCAGTAGAACCTCACAAGATTAAATAAATAACAATCAACACGCTTTCCTTGCGACTGCACTATAATAGAAGGAACAATGAGTAGCCAAATGAGAAAATGTACCTTAATGTCCTTCCGCAAAACAAGTCGAGAAAGTTTAAAATGAGCAGTAGGGCCATTGGGCAACCCAATAACTAAAAGAGCATCTGCACACGAGAGTTGTAAAAAATAAGAAAATAAATAAAATATAAAATACAGAATTTGCAGCATGGGTCACCACATGTAACATGCCATAATCTTTCCTCTACCAGCAATACCTCCACTCATCATCCAAATTTAATCAAACCATACGCCAAGTTGATTTTTATGATTAAGATTTAGATAACTTTTTATATCTTGTTGACTAATTCAACATAAATACATTATATATTTTTTGACACTAAACAAAAAAAAAAAAAAAAAAAAAAAAAAAAAACATTACATTACATTACATATATATATAAAAAGAAGATATGCCTATCTCATTTGCATTATTCCTGAAGAGCATATGTTTTTTTGACCTATATTTGCAGGTTAACATCGTATCATGGACTGACCTGGTTCCCGACGGTTGGTATGGACAACTATGACCGACGTGAAGTCTTTATGTTTTGCATACTCTACAATCTGCATGATGAACAAAGGTATAATGAATTAAACACTCTCCTGGGGATAAACTTCATATACGAATTCCAATACTATATAAGTGGAGTATGTGTGAAAATAAAGGATGGCAAACCTTTTTGAGGTCATAGGTTCCCCTCTTGTAGTAATGAGCATTGGGGATGATCGAGAGAATATCTTGAATAAAAGCAGGACCTCTCTGTAGTCCATTGGAAAAACCATCATTAACGGGGAGAGAAAGAGAGAGAGAGAGAGAGAGAGAGAGCAACCGAAGTACTATTTGGAAAAAAAATCTCATTTTCAGTGACTCAGACAGGAAAACATACCGTAGAATTGAAGCGGGCTGTAGTGATCAAGACCTTAGGAATGATTTCCTGATTCAATACAGGGCTGAACTCATCTGCATCATTGCCGGCAAATAGCTCTTCATCATCAGGCATGCACACAGTCTCGTCGACTTCACGAGTGTTCTCGATCGTGCGGGGAGTTTTCTTGGCCGGAGGCTCCTCCCCTAGCTCCAGGGCCCGTTTCTCAGCAGCTTCACGTGCCTTTGCCTTCTTCCTCTTCTCCAATTTCTTTTGGTTCTTTAGCTTGGCATGGACTTCAGATCTCTTCGCCTTATTCTTTATCATTGATGGAAGCAAAGCCTCCTTTGCCTTAGTCATTGTTCTTTATTTACCAAAACTCTTAACTATTTCTGGTGTTCTTTCACTACCTACATAGGGGAGAGGGAGAGGGAGAGTGGGAGAGGGAGAGAGAGAGAGAGAGATAAAGTGGATATACTCACAATGTTAATACTAAGGTATTTGTTCATGGGATTAATCACATACTTAACTGAGTAAATAGCGCCAAAATAAAGCTTCGTTTGAGGTAGATATTACTGGGCTATCACAATTGTCCTTTCTAGACGTTTACTGCAAACTTCTCTACACAAATATCATCTATTCAGCATTAAGCGTCAATCAAGTAATATCATGGTACTCTATTACAAAAACCCTGATCAATACGTGCTTGCAACTTCAAAATTCTAATAGAACTTATACATATGTTTCAGCTGGAAACATGCAAACGAAGTAAGTTTACCGCCTCTCTCCCTTGTAAGACCTCTGAATATCAGAATTATCACCAATTTAACTCGAAAAAAAATAAAAGTAAAGAGAATATATGGGAAAATGGCAGAAATGTGCATTTTCCAGCCAATTTTACTTCATGGATAGAAAGAAAAAATGTAAATTCAGACTCACAGGGGAGAGGCAGAGGGGGAACGGCGACTCAAGCGGCTCAAGCGTGATGGACGGCGGCGCACAGTGGTGGTTTCTGGCTTCGTCGTCAATCGCTGTTGTCAATGACAAGCCAATCAAAAGCCTGTTCAGTTCAAAATAAACCTAAAACCCCCTGCAAGCGTTTGAAAGAATGATCGTGGGTCTGAATGAGGGCTCAACTCCTCTTTAATCTACAGTTTAAAATATTTTTTTTTTTTTAAATCTATTATAAGGACCGCAATAAACAAGAAAAGAAAAACAAGGACAATTAAACATATAAGGCAGATAAAATAAGCAGACAAGGCATACAAAACTTCTAACTCTATTTTATTTCCACTTCTTTTCTAACTCCAAGATAGGGTCAACAAATACACAACTAAGCACACACATAACAACACCAAAACAACACATACAAGCAGCATAAGTACAGCACTTCCCCATTAAAATAGCACAACAACCAAGCACGAACAAGGCACCGAACGCAACATTCTAGCTCTTTCTTTTCTAACACTTTAGGCCTGCTTAAGAACTGATATATGACTGAAAATTTCACACTTCAACACTCATGTTTTTCAGCCTAAAAATACTCTGAACAGGGGCTTTAACAATCAACCTAAACAAGCCTAAATCACATGATATCAAATCAAAACATCATGCCTCTTAATTCAAGATTTTAACACACTTGAACATGTATCCATACTGAGCATAAAGCCTCTGATATGCACAAAATAACAGCATATACACCAAGAACAAGCTCAACAGGACTTGACAAAAATTCAAGGCAAAACTACAACATGTCAATATGCTCCTTAATTCTAAAATCTCACCACAAATCGCACGTTTTTTAAACACTTCAATTGACTGAAAAATAATGCTCACCAGCTCTGAAATACACTTAAATTCAGCAAAAATCAGGCACTAAAGGTTCAGCAACATTCATATTTCATGGCCGAAACCACTTAAAAAAATTTCACATAAGACTTGCTATGCTCCTTATTCAAACTAAAGGTTCTGTGCACAAGTCAAAACTCGACACCAAAAAGCAAGATCAACACTTCTCAGCACCAAGACATACATTACTGGAGCATGAAAAATTTGCATATAACAGCCTCAAACAACATAGCCTAACCGGGTACAAAAATAGCACATCATTCAAGCACATAACCAAATATTCTCGGCCAAAACAGAGGCAGGAAGGTTCAAGCGTTGTACCTTTCTAGGGACTTAAAAAATGAAAGGACGCGGCTTGATCTTCCTCAGCGAGGCTCGGGTCTCGCTGTAAAAGCGGGGTTCGCTGGTGGTCTCGTCTTTGCCTCCGGGTTGAAGGTTGCCGGATGGAGCCTTGGTCGTCGGTCGCAGGTCGAGGACGTGGCTGGAAGTCGAAGGTCCAGCAGTTGCCGAAGGAAGGGGCTGAACAGAGCTCGGTCGCCGAGAGCTCGAAATCGCCGAACAATAGTCGGGGCTCGGGAGCAGCCACGGCCCGGCGGAAATCGAGGCCCGATGTCGTCGGAGGTCGAGGCCCGTCCGAGGTCGCAGCCCGGACGTCGCGGTGACTATGCGATGCCGCCGATGGACTGTGCTCGTCGGACGATGGTCGAGCGTGCGAACGGTCGTCAGCTTGGGCTGCGTGCGCTCGAACCCGCTGGAAGACGTTCACTGGTGGGGCGCCGACGAAGGGGGTCGGCAGGGGTTCTCGTGCGTGGCTGAAGGCCGAGATTTGAGAGATCTCGGGAGAGATAGGTCGATTGAACCAGAGAGGGAGAGATTGAACGAAAGGGGAACAAAACCAGTTGCGGCTGAACGAAAAGAAAAGTAGGGCCTTAATAATGAATGGTATTAGGGCTTAGTCTAAGATGTAATGGGCCGAATTTGCAAGCTATTTGGGCCGATTTTTCAAAAGTACAAACGGGTCGATTTTAAGAGTCTTAAAAAGGCCGAAATAAATAATTAAACTAGACCGGTAATTATCTCAAGGCTCGCCTAGAAAACAACTCGAAAATATTCGCCGAAATTTATTCCAACGATTTGACAAGCAATAAAATAAAATACAAGTAATACACATAGAATAAAACAATTAGATAAAATAACATAAAGGCAAGCAATTCACATAAAATAAAATAAAAGCAATCAATCCACATAAAATAAATGTAAATACGCAATTAATATGCAGGTAAATAGAGTAAAGTACGAGAAATTATAGGAATCGAATGAGGCACTACAATAATAGATGACATACATGTGTAAATGTATTTATTATAATGTTTATGAAGATATGTAAAATTAAAGATGTTGTCACATGTATATAATGTCAAACTTTATATTAACCATTATATTATTGTAGCATAATTTATCATATGTTTTATTTCACATATTTAAAAAGGGCGTGTTGGTGCATTAGCCAATGGTGGTCAAGAAAATTGAGCGTAAACTCCAACTCTTGATACTCAAATTCAGTGATGACCTAAATAAGCCTTTCATAGAATTTGAGCTCGGCTCATTTAACCAAATTGCCAAGTAGAACTTGAATTTCAACAAGTCAAGTTATGCTAAGAGATTAACAAATTATATAAAAATTCTCATTTTTCAAGCCTTAACAAGCCAAGCTTGTGAACTGAACAAGTTGCACATGGAACTTGAATTCGACCGATTTATTAAACTTAACAAATTGAATTTGAGTCTTAATAAGCCAAGCCAATTCGAGGTCTCAAGCTTCTCATTTCGGTTAATAGCTCTAGATGTAGTATACAATTTTTTTGGTAAGGTAGTAAGGACAAAAAAAGCCCCTTCCTACTTGACAAGGCTGTGGATGTTGGTTAAAACGAACTCAAACAGATGAATATGATACTGTAGCGCCCCGTTCGACTTATAATTCTATTTATCAAATTTTATTTATTGGATTACGTATTATTATTGGTTGTGATGTCGTCAGTATTGGTGCTTAAAATTATATAGTTACTACTTGACCGTTTAACCTTTAAAGCATTCGTCGTTAGGTGATTTGGGTTTAATTCGTTCGAATTATGGATTTGTTTGGATTATTTATTTATCGGCATTCTTATTTTATTTTCCTAAGTCTTTATTTAATCGCCTATTTTTATATTATTGATTGATAATATAAATACTAAGTGCTCATCCGATATTATTTATCGTTCGCCGTTCGGATTTTCAGTTTAATCGCGTAAAGTTTTTATCAAATTGTTCTCGTTATTTTCTCGAGCAATTGTACCAAGCTTCGAACCGTTAAGACCAGCTCGCGCGATCTTTAAAAAATACAAAAAAAAAATTTACTCTGATTTTTCAAAGCTAGTAAGGCAGGGTGCTACATAAGCATATTTTTATGGTTAATTTTTGAGAAGTTAAGTTTTTTAGATGTCCAAGTTTTTCATACATGTTATGAGATTTCATGTATGACTCTAGCATTAGGCATAAGATTTTTCTACCCTCGAGATTATAAAGGACCTTGAACTTTAGCTAAGTTCTGAGTTTTGAACCTTAGTCAAGTTGGAGTTAAGATGAACGCTATAGTAGCATCATTCAGATTTTGGCGAAGTACTTCCAAGCAAGTATATGTAGCAACGGAAATTCCCATGTATAAAAGCCACGAGTTCGGCTTGAAGCTGGGAACAAGACCAACATATTTGAGGTGACTTCTACCATAAGAAAAAGACAAAAATAGAGTATGAAGAGAAGAAAGCAAGAAGTAAGAATAGTGTCAAGAGACAACTTGACGAAAAGAAAGAACTTAAAAAAGAGAAATAGCCAAGGCTTATTAGAGAACGTTGTTTGGAACTCTAAGAAGCAACAATCAAACAAGAAGACTTGATTGTATAAGAGTATCTAAACGACTAAAATAATTAGCAGTAAGTTCATTAAAAGCGTAGTAGAATCGACAATCTACTTAGTACAAGAAGCACAAGGAAGTACTTCGAGCATTAGGGGTTTGAAGACAAGATAATAGCAAGAATAAATAGAATTAAAAACAAGAGAATGCGTATTATAGCAATTGTAGAAGTCAGTTTAACCTCGACAAGTACTATAGTTATTGATCCTCTTGAAAAATGCTTGAACGTTAGAAAAGCTGATGGTCAATGAAGAGCATTAATAAGGAAAAAAAGCTAAGGATAGAAGAAAGTTTTGGTGTGTGTTTTTCTAAGTACCCATGTTAAATTGAGATTTAGTCTGAAGTTAACATGCTCTTAAAGTTAGATTGAGATGTAGCCACAACCAACTGAAAGTTAAAAAGACAATCGTGTGTAATAAAAGCCAACTAGAACTTTGTACGAACACAATGATGTTGTAGCGATATCTTTTGAGTTACGTAATACAACAGAGAAATGTAAAGAGTACATTATTATTTGAAAAGTCAAATATGTAGAAACAAACAAAGATTGGTGAAGATGCAA